CGCGGAGGTGGAGGAGGAGGCGCTCTGCGAGCCCCTGCCCACGGGCTCCCTCTGCCCTCGGAGCCTGGGGGGTTCCCGCGTGTGCTGCAGCGAGACCTGCTCCCCCCGGATCTCCCCCCCGGCAGGCAGCAGCGAGCAAGCCTCTTTCTTTCCCGGGGATTTGGGGGCAGCTCCTCGCGATTGAGCATTACAACTAGGAACCTGCGGCTCCTCTTTATTTGACCAGCAACCCTCTCCCTAGCTTTAGTTGTGCCGAGTGGAGGATCCCAAAGCGTTTGACAGGAAAAACCAAACCAAACCACGGCCTTCCAAGACCTCCAGGAGATGGGGGAGAGGGAGCTGGGGACAGGCAGGTCATCAGTCCGCAGGCTTTTTTGCTTTTCCCTTCGTGGCTTTTCTGTAAAGGAATGGGGGAGCTTCATGTGCCTGTTGAACATCCCTCCCGCGTGTCCTCAGCTGTTAATCCCCAGTGCAGATTGTGGACAGTTCCTTGCAGATATTTGAAATGGGTAACCAGCAATGCGCCAGTATCCCGTGTCATGTGGCACTGCTGCTTTCCTCTGAGTGGATAACTTCATAAATAAGCACCAACAGTAAGACACTGGCATTGTATATTTGAGTGTCCAATTTGAAACCTGGGCTGCAGACTGTGTAATGGAGATGCTACGCAGGGCACAAGGGATAAAGGGATAATGGCATGCAGGGCACAGACCACTTTGGGCAGTTCAGATCCAAGAAGTTTTGTTGTTGTTGTTCATAAAAAGCTTATTTATGAAAATAGTCATTCAAAGAGAACCGCGTCCAAGAGAATCTGTCCAAGTATTTGAATAAGTATTTGCTTAGATCTGTTATTTCTTCAGCTGTAAAACTAACATAAGAGCAAGACAAAGGTTAAGCGACTTGCCCCCAATTCACACAGGAAATCTGTGGCAGCATCACAAATCAGACTCAAGGGTCCTGGCTCTTAGCCCCCGATTTAGCTAGAGCTTGTCATTGTGTATATGATATAAGAGAGTTGTTAAACTGGAGAACTATGTTATACTGCAAAGAAAGTAGGACACATCACTTCAAATATATTGGCATGTGTTTTTCCAATTTAAAACATTTTAACTATTCTCTAGCCTCTAAATTACACGTAGCAGATTTTCACTTGGAGTTTGCCGTTGTGTTCACTAGGAAAAGGTCATGTCCGTACCTGTAACAGCACAGAAGTTCAGCACGCAAAACCGGTCTATACCTGTAACAAAACAGAAGTTTGGCGCACAGCCTGGTTTACAAACGGGCAGAACCTGGTCCAAGATTTCTCCCCCCGCCCCCAAAAGGGCGAATGTGTGTTCTGTTCACTACTCATCTGAACTACAGTGCTTACAGAAAACTGCATTAACTTAGATCAGTTCTGCTTCAGGCTTTTTGAATGTCTGCACCTAGCCTAAAAATCCTGGAGTTGACAAGACAGGTTATTTTAATGGGGAGCCTGGGGTTTATTTCAACTAATTAACATGCATTATAATTAGAAGTGCTTCATCAGCTCTAGGATTTTAACGTGCATTAGCCAACATTTTGTTTTCTAAGTGTAGGCGATCTGTACTGTTCTCTTCTGAAAGGTTGCAGAAGTATTAAAACAAAGGGGGAATATACCTCCTATTTTAACATAAATCCATTGTATTTCAGTTGGTATTTGTAATGACTGAGGCAAAAGTAGGTACTTGCTTTTTTTTGAGTAGAGAAGCCTCTCAAAGACAATGAGCCATTTCTTCCACTAGAGGGGTACTAATCTGTTCATGAAACACCCTCAGGGAGGAAATTGAGGTAAGGAATTTCAGGAAGGAAAAATGGCTGAGTAAAGACATGAGTATAGAAATGAACAATCTTTATAACAAACCAAGGGCTAAGCGCAATACCATCTGATCATAAAGGGAGTTTGGAAGTGTGCTTAGTGGAATCCTTATTATATAGTTTTCTTAAGGAAAGACATACTGGTCACTTCAGATGAAATGACATATGTCATTTTGAATTGAGAACCATCCTAGATAATGTTTTTTAACTGGAAACTGTTGGATTAACGGCTGGAAGAATTGAGTTTTCAGCAGTAATGATGACATCTCGTCATTGTTTAAAGTATTCCTTTTTATTGAGCAGCTCTAAAAGCAGCATTTGTGATTGTGCAGTATTCTGCTTTTGTTCATATTATCTTCTGGGTTGATGAGTTATACTGGGAGTTTCAGTCTTGGCTGGCCCACTGTTCTGTATATTGTATCTAAAATAATAGGTTGTAGCATGATGTGGAGTATACAGACAGATACTTACCTTAAAATATCTTCATGCATAAATACTGGTATTAACCAAAATATGCCTTATTGTTTATTTAAGAACACAGTCTCCTGGATATTGTAGGTAGATGGAGACTTGCAGTTGTTTACCCTTGTGAGAACTCCTTAAAGGCCAAATCATGTTTGACCTGGACTCCCATTAAACTTCAGGAAGGGTTTTATTTGTGTAAAGTTAACTGACTTGGTCTCTAATTGTCAAGTACCTTTAGGCCAGAAACCTTTGGCCAGAGTATTTACTTAAAAGCCTTTTCTATTAAATCCTTGTTTCTCTGTGGAGCAGGGAAGGCATTTGACTTTCCAGATCTATGGAGAATTGTACGCACTCTCTTTGTTGTATGGATGTTGACAGTTACAGTCATTTGCTTCTAGATCTGGTGAAGTCATTCAGTGAGGGAAGTTCTTTCAGCTGTCTTGGCACACAGGATAATCCCGTGTCCATTATTAGAGCAGTTGAGCTTTTACCAAAGCTGACTTTGACTTGTAGTAGCAGCCTGACTCAGACAGCAGGGACTTGAGCTTCATTTAGCACTGTCACGTTCTCCCCTTCACTTTGTAGAAATCTAGATTCACGGATTCACACAAGTTTAGGGTTGGAAGGGACCTTGTGAGATCATTGGTTCCAGCGTTCCTTCTCTGGGCAGGGTGGAAGTTCCTTTGTTGTGACCATAGGACTGTATTGCTGGCATGCTTTTTAGATCATATATTGCCTCCTGAATACAATGGGACATGAGTAATAATGCATTTGCAGTGTAGCACTGTATAAGCAATTTGCAGTAACTGTCAGCACATCCTCATTTTTACCTAAACACCCATTTAGTGATTAAAGCAGAAGTCTGGGCTGTGATCTACTTTGAAAATTGATTTTAAAATCTAGCTGTTTTAAAGAACAATAGGCAGCCACAAATAACTGCAGGCTGTATTTAGATGGCTGTGTAAATATTAAAGACTTTGTCAGGTTTGTAACCTAGTCTATTTAAAAAAAAAAAAAAAAGAATTTTAAATAGTTTCAGAGTGTACACCTGAGTCCCTCTGCCAAATTTTATGGTTTTTCAATCACAGTTTCCAATTTTAAATTGTTTTTCTCTCGATTGGTACAAGACCCACCCAGACAACAAGGGAAATTGAGTCAGACTCCAACTCTGCAAAGACACGTGTAAGGTTTCAGACTTGGGGTAATCTAGTAATTTTAACAGGAATTCTCACAATGTGTAAAGTTAAACACCTGTGTACGTTTTTGTGGCATCAGGGCCTCACTGACTAAGCAGGGGAAACGGAGAATGTGGCAATACATAAAGTGCTCCTAAATCCACACACAAATCGTGAAAAAAGCTTATAGTTTAATTATTCTCAGTCTTAAGTGTCCCTTATCACAGCAGAAGATAAAAACTTTCAGTATGAAATGTATTAACTTTGAAATCATGTTTCTGGTTTTTTCCTCTGCACTGCATGCAAGATTGTTATAACTGAAATAAATGAGAGAAAAATGTATTTTTCTCTTTTACCACGTGCCCTCCTATTTCTTCTGCAGCATTCAGAGTTCCTTTTAAAGGGTTTCCCCCCTCAAACTCATAAGTAGTTTGGGGCTGGCGGGAATATCTATAACCACCTTCTTATTGAACTGTTGACAAAATAGGCTTTTCTTACAAACAGCCTGGGCAAGATCAGCAACAGGTATGTACATGGGCTTCAGTGGGCACGTGCCTGCTTATGCTTACTGAGGATCTTTTATCCTCCCAAATCCTTTCATAACTGATTGTGTTAATTTCTGCTGTGAATAGAGAAGGAAACCAATTTGTTTGGTGTTCTCTCAAGTTTCTAATCTCTCCCTTTCCTTGAAGGTTTTTGGAAAGGTTGCTATCCAGCTGTGAGGAGTCTCTTCGAGCTAATGATCTCCAGAATACATTATAGACTACTTTTCATCCTACTCACAGCACAGCTACTACCCTGGTGCCAGTCCTCTAATGATATGTGAATGACTGCAACAGATCAGGGTTATGTTTATCTGTTACTTCTACTGAAGCTGTCAGCTGCAGTTGATGCTATTGATCATGAAATTCTGTTTAAAAAGCTTGTTTTTTTTATAATAGTTTATTTGGTTCTTCACCCTCCTGGTTCAGATCTCATATTTCCTGATCCTGACAGTTTTATCACTAGTGGCCCTTATGCTTCTAACGTATCTCAAATTGCCAGTGCCAGTTGCCCATGGAGTCCAACAGGGCTTCGTTTTATTTAGTATTCATATGCTTCCTTTTGGGCAGAATTCATTTGTGCGCAAGGGCTTTAGTGTTACATGTAAATTGACAGCAGTGAGATCTATTTGTCAAGCAGACAGTGTGTCACTTTCAAACCCCTGCTGGTTCAGAGCCAGCAGGGGCCATGGAGCAGGGCACACATGTGTATCAGTGATAGTGTAACAAACCCCATATTTGTTGTTGTTATTGTCAAGCTTCTCATTTTTG